GATCTTTTAATTGTTTTATATGAAAAACTCAATTCAAATAACAATAGTTCATCAAGTAGCCGCAAGCAGAATTTATTTTAGGCCACCGCAGTGGCCGCATGGGCTCGTTGTAGCCAACAAAACCGCCAATTTGCCAGTGTGGCTGCAGCCATAACTACGCCCACAAATAAGCCCACTGACACACCCACACACACACACACACATGGGCAGAGATATACCAATGATTATCAATATCAAAATATAACGCTTGATTCAATTGCTAGCTGAACATACACAACACATACATGTATGTGTATGTGTTGCAGGACATTTTAAGGTGCTTGTAAAACACGAGGCATGAAAATAACCCAAGCTTATCGCTCTTTAATTTCTCTATATAATATAAAGCAGCTGCAAATCCCTCCGCTTGCCACATTTCTGCAGCCCTGAGAATCACACTTGGAGCGACGTAAATAAAAATTTATGACCACAAAAGTATGCTACAAAATATGCGCATAAAATGATTATGACGATTATGTTGTAGCTGCTGCTTGTGTTGATATTACACCAAATATCAGGCAACAACACACATGCAATGCTAAACGGTCACACACACGCACCCATACACACACACACACACACACACATACATATGTATTTATTGACACAAATTGCTTTTCAGAGCTCAGCTCTCATGCCATTTGCCTGTCTGCTTGGATCTGTGTGTATGTGTGTGTGTGTGTGTGTGTTGGAGCGCCTTCTGCTTCTCCTTTTTCTTGCTCTCTCTTTTTATTGAAGCAATAATAAAATATTCATAAAGATTTCGTTTACGCAGCAATGACAACATTTTACCGCCCACTTTACAATAATGCCTATAAATACGTTAGACCCACCCGAATCGAATAGATATATAAATACATACATATATCTATTTAATCATACTATTTGGACCACGCACGGCACCACCCAACCACCCGACCACAGCAATTCGACAGTTTATTAGCGCATGGCATGCATGAGCTATGTGGGTAACTGAGCATTTTAAAATGCTTCAGCGCGTGTCTGTGTGTAACTGCGATATGTTCATTTAAATGGCGGCCACAACAAGCTGTGGCCCGCAATCATGTCAAGAATTCAATATCAAAATACGCGCACAGCTGTCGCTGATGACATCGAGTAACGCACGGGTACCAACAGCCCCCGCCACCCATCACCCGGCACCCGCCACCCATCACCCGGCACCCAAAGCCGAAAAACGCCCTTCTTTGAGGTCCTATTGATGAACTGAACCAAAGGCGGCGCTGGGCGAGGGGCGTAAGGAACTTCCCGCGTTTTGATTACAAATATGACGCACGAAACATACTCAAGCATACCAGTCGAAGTATAAGGCACAGTGCATTGTAGATAGCTTATTATTGTTTAATATACATAAATGGGTATAAACATATATTATGTTTATTTATTTACATATACATAAGGTAAACCATGATATGCATATTTTATATATTTTAGATATTATAACATTCTATGCACTTATATTATCATTTTATATTTTTGTAAGATATTTTTCGTTTCAAACTGAAATTGACGTATAGCTGCCTTTAGTATAGTATAATTGTATTGTGTTGTGAATATTTAAAATCTATATTATTGCGACAGCTAACGTAAGTTAGCCGGCCCAAATGGGTAGAATTAATAGATAATAAACTCAAAAAAAAAAATAAAAAATAATATACATAAGTTTAGTTAATTTCAAAGGAAATTTAATTGATCGTACCCCTACTTTAATTTTATATATTTTGTTTTTCGAGATTATTATTGCTCCAGTTCCAATTTATATAAATTATCGTACTACGATTTCCCTAAACATATTATATACTATATCTTATATGTGAATTCTTTGTTCTATGTAGTATATAGTATAGTAAAAGTAATTTTCGTAAGTCCTTTAAGAGGGCGAAACACTTTCCTTGCTTTACCGTTTCGTTAAACCTCTGCAGTTAAAGCGCATAATTTCTGCCCCACTGTACAATGATAACTGTGTGTCTGTGTGTGTGGAATGCATTTAATAGTGTTTTCAACCGAATCAACTGGCGCACACAATTCAATGCACACACCCACACAGCCATATAATAACTCATCGAAACTGCAATGTTGCTCAACAAGAAGTGAAGTCATTGAGACCAAATGGCGCACATATATAAGAAATCTATTGGTTTGTTATAAGATGACAGTTGATTATTTTATCTCTTGACTGACAGAACTTGGAGCGCCGTTAAGAAAATCCATTAGTTTAATTACCCGGCAGGCAACCAAGTCGCTGCAACGTCAGCTGCAGCTGCAACTGCAACAAATTGCGACTATCAACATATTCGATGTGATTTCCGTTGTGGCGGCAGCAGCTGCTGCTGCATCTGATTACTTAATGCATTTGCACATTTGGCCACAAAACAGCGAGAAAGCAGTAAGTTGACATGTTGCCGTCGCTCCCCCGTCTGCTGGTTTTAATTAGTGCACACGAGTGGCCCGCATCGAAGGCTCCTGCCAGCTACCTATATTCTATTGGCCAATTCATTGCAGATGCCTCAATTGCATGCCCCAACCGGAGCCGGAAGCCGACTACACTTCTCGGTGTGGGCGGCCCTGGGACAGATTGTGTGTCATTAACTTGATGCAGCGGTCCAAAAAGATGGCCAACAAAATGGGGCGGCCACCTACAATAGTAAGTGTGACTGTTGCCAATCGACTTTGTGTGTGCTTGTATATGTATTAGTGTGTGTGTGTGCGTGTGTGGGTGTGTGCGATTACAATTGCCTGGCTGAGATGAGAAATTAACCTTTGTTGCCGACTTGGTCGGCCAGGCTGGGCCGGAAGTTTGACCCAAGCTGAAAAGAGAGCTTTTGCGGTCGATGTTGCACAGCGACGCTAATGGCGCTTGAATAATTAAAAAGGAGTGAAACACATGCTTGGTTCGTTTCGGCAAACACACATAAATATACTTGGATGCTTTAATTTGATAACCACAAAAGTTTGCATATAACGCACACTAATAGAGATACATATGCACACATATTTAACGCAAGATAAACTTTCTATTTAACACTAAATATATATTTGCAACATCTAATATAATGAAATCGGAAAAACCAGTTCAATTTAGCCTCATACCCTCTCTATTTCTTGGCACTATCAATTACCGCAGTCTGTATTTCGTCTCCATAATAGACAACTATGTTGTCCTTCTCCTCCTCCAGTTCTCGTTGTCCATTGCTAATTAGTTGCTGTAACTCGTCTTCCCAACCAAGCGCTTCGGCCAATGCCCAGACACCGGCATCACAATCCCCAAGGAACGCCACGTCACGCGTATTCTTAGTCTCGCCGTAGAGCAGTGCCTCGCCATTGGCGTCCATCCAGGGTGCGAAGCTGGCACGACCAACCGCATCCCGGTTAATCAACAGGCGAATGCAACGCGGGCCAGCCCGGTGGATTAGCGAGGCAAACGGTTGCATCTCCAAAGATGTGCCCATGATGATAAGCAAATCGCACTCCTTGAAGTCCTCGTCGGGACTGGAGTAAAACTTATCTGGCAGATTTTCGCCAATAAAAACAATGTCCGGCTTCACCAAACCCTTGCACTGCTCACAAATGGGCAGATGATCGGAGAAAATCTTCTTCTTCATCCAGGCCATATCGTAGAGCTGCTTGCAATTGAGACAATGATTCGTATTAAAGCTGCCGATTGCCTCAATGAGCTTCTCCTCCGGCAGGCCAGCCAGACGTTCCAGCATATCGATGTTCTGAGTATAGTGACGCTGTAGCACGCCCTTCTCGTGCAACAGGCGGATAAAGTAATGTGCCGGAGTTGGCACAAATGACCCCGGATACAGCTCCTTGGCTAGTTCGAAGAATGGGGCCGGATTTCTCTGGAAGTTCTCCACGTCAAATATGGCCGTTGGGTGAGGCAACTTGTGCTGCTTCTTGTTGCTGTACAAACCGTAGCCAGGCGAACGAAAGTCAGGAATACCCGCAGCTAAAGAACTTTTCATATTTGTACAAAAATTAACACTTGCAAAATAAACATTCAATGAAATGTCAACTCACAAGTGGAGATACCAGCACCCACCATAGTTATAATCTTCTTAAAGCCCTTTTCGCGCCAGTGTATCGATAGGCCCTCGAAGGTAAGCTCCGGAATTACCTGTAGCCAGGATGTGGATAAGTAACTTAGTTAGCAAATTTCAATAGCTCACCTTGTCCACAGTGGGGGTTTCGTTGTCCGAGGTCAAACTGAAAGTCTGCGAAAAGAATCGACGAATCATGTCCACGGTGCCATCTGAAAATGAATTATCTGACAACAAATTCAACAATTAGTTGAATCGTTCAAAACCTTCTTCGCCTTGACTGCCAGAATCTGTATCTGTTGCTGTCGCTGCTGACTTCGACGTCGGCGTACACAACAACGTCGACGGCTTGGTGGGCAGCCCGTCCTGTTTGACACTTTTCCCTTCGTTCTCGTCGCTGTCACTCATTCTACGTTAGTTCTCACTCTAGCTATATTTAATAGCAATCTAATATACTTAATAAAACAAATTAAAAAGAATTTGCGCTCTAATAATATTTTGATTTGATGTGCGTTGTACGAATATTTTTCTTATCCTTGTACGAAAATTTCAAGGCCATGGACATGGTGCTGCCAGAGTGTATTGCACACAGACACTGCAAAGCTGCCTGATACAAAATTAGCATTATTTATATCGATATATCGAATGGTTGGCTCGGTGGCAGTTGGGCAAATTTAATTTAATTTTTAACGGAAAAGCAAAACAAACGATAAATAAAATTGAATAACGTGTTATTTAATAAAGTAAAGTTATAAATTTCAAACTCTTGAGATGAAACATTATATTTATATGTATAAAAAATTAGAAAAAAACAACCAAAGACCAACAATTAATGTGGCATCTGTTCCGTCCGTCAATAGAAACATTAAGTTTTATATAGATTTATTGTGTTTGAAAAAAGTGAGCATCATTTATAAAAAGAAAACATTTGCATTATTTACATTACAATTGTACAACTGAAGATGTATGTTAGGCTGGCACCAGGAAGCAAGCATTGCTTCCAACTTCGCTTTCAATGCTGTTCAATCCGTTGACCTTCGTTGTGCTCCAGTGCCCAGAGCTCATTGTATGCGCACATTGAGTGGATTGAGTATGCGGCCCGACATGACGGCCACGTCTAAGTCGCGATCGATGATGAAAAACAGAAACGGATGATTCACAGAGATCTGTATGGGCTTCGTTTGAGCGCCAGTGTTGCCTGAGCAAAAAGGGAAATAGTTATTGCACATTTATCTTGCCACTGCCACTGCTGCTGTTGCTGCTGCTGCTGCTGCTGCTGCTGCTGCTGGTATTGTTGCAATCCATGTTGCAGGTGGGGCTGCTGGCTAACACCTCAGTGCGTTGCGCCTCAATGCGTCGAGGTGTGGGCTGCAATGTTGCAACAGAGCAATGCAACAGCTACTTACGTTTGAGCTGATTGATCGGATGCGTTCGGATGTTGACATCGATCGATTGCTCAATGTGTCGCACATAGACGCCCTTCTCCTCAGTCATGGGTCGAAAGTCGGCGCGGTTCGGCTCGAAGATATCACAGCTAAAAATTGAGTACAAAAGAAAAGTAAAAGTGCTTCCAGCATTTATAGATATACAGCTATTGGCCCTGCCTGCTTACATGCCCATCTGTAAATGGAAGTAAACTAATAAATACGTCAATTTAAGGATCTCGTTTAGCACCTTACATTCTGCAGATCGTTGGTCAGGAACATGGTGCCGTGCAGCTTGAAGTCGGGTATGATGGCCTGCACCCAACGTGCCTTCAGCTGCTTGCGCATCAGCCGCAGCGTGGGCCCCAGCTTCAGCGAGGCAGCTGCGGCCACAATGTCCATGTGGTAGTCGGGCAGCAAGATCATCAAATTGTACTCGGGTGTGTCCAGCTCCAGCTCCAGCACACTCATCTTCAGATGCTCAAAGTACTTGTAGTAGAGCACCGCATTGTACACCTTAAATGTGGTGTGCACCACCTGCTGGCTGCCCAGATAGAACACATGGCTGATCACGTCCGTATTGTAGTTGGTTTTGCCCTCAGCTCCATCGCTGATGAAGTGCGGATCAAAGTCGTTTGTGATGTGCGCAAAGGCTGCTGTCGGTGGTATGGGCAGTGGATGTGGTGCGCCATGTGGTGGGCCATGTGGTGCATGCGGACTGAACAGCGTCACAAAGAGATTCGCGTCCAGCTCTTTGTAGCCCAACACATGGCGCTTGTGCCGAGTCCCATTCGATCTGCGCGTTGTGTTGGGCGAGGACATGGACGTGGGGGCAGCTGAACGTGCGCCATAGTGGGGCACAGTCTGTCTGTGCGTAGGTCGCACATCTGCCATCTGGCGGGCCATCATGGGCAGGACGCTAATCCGAGCGCTGGGCAAATAGCCGGGCTTCGGCGTTATGGGATTGGAGTGCTTCAGCGGTGCCTGCAGCTTGCTAACGGGCAGACGCGAGACGCGCGCCTTTTGTATGCGCAGAAAGGGTTCGGCATCCTCTTCGGCGACGAAGGCGGACACCAGCTCGGCAGCCTCATCCTCGCCAGGGGCCTGCTCAGCGGCCTCAGCGGAGGCGGCGGCCTCTGTAGCCACCTCTGTGGTTGTTGTCTCCGCTTCAGTTGTGACTGTAGTTGTCTCCTCTGTTGTTGTGGTGGTCGTGGGCATGGCTGTGGTGGTGACTGGCTCTGCGGTGGTGCTAGTGGGCAGCTCGGTTGCTGCTGTTGTGTCCACATCCTGGGGCGTGCTTGTCGGAGCCTGCATCTCGTCAGCCGTCGCATTGCCCGCCACGGTGGCATTGGCCACGCCCACTGTCATATTCGCTGGCGTCGACGAGACCATATCGACACTCAGATCATAGCCATAGAACATAAGCACAGTCTCGAAGTCCTTCAGCACGGTCACATTGGCGCGGCTCAGGCTGAGCCCCTTCAGGGGATTGTCGGAGCCGAAGAAGTAGGTCTGCAAATAATGGAGCGCTTATCAGAAATACGCATTGTACTATAATCAGATCGGATGAACTGTGCTAGGTCTATCAATTATAAATTCTATTCATGCCGAAAAAATTCGGCCACTCATCGCAGATTGGGGTCAACGAACTGTCGAAAGCGTTTTAAGCTGCAATTGGACAGCGATAAGCAGAATTTGGAGCTATTGGCCGGCGGCATAATTCCGAATGATCTATTTGGTATCAATATATGTCTAACACAAAGCGCCGCAGCATGACGTGAATTGGTTTTATTCTCATTTATCAGTCGAATATTAGGTATTTATTTCGAGTGGGAGCGAAGGGGAGTGGATGGTGGAATGTGAAGCGAAGCATGTGAATATTTTTATTGTAGCCAAAATCAAAATGTGCGTGGGGTAGGGCTTACCCGCAGCCGTCGGTGTATGTCACGGTAGCCGACGCGTATGACGTCACGATTGCTGGGCAGCTGCAGCACATTGCGCAGCTCTGTGGCGCTCCTGGCCGAGGAGCCCTCGTAGAGGGCCACCAGCACGCTGACCAGTGCCGTCGGCGAGAACGCAAAGTTATTCCGATTGAGTATGGAGTGATAGTGGAGCAGCCGATGGGTCAGATCGTTGGTCAGGTCGACCATCACCTCGGCCGGCGTCAGCTGCTTGGCCAGCACGTGCGGCAGACGCTCCAGTTCCAGCGGTGTCAGGGCAGCTGGCGGCGGCGGTGGATGGGGATAGCCACTGGCCCGAAACTCCTCGTGATCGATTTGTATGTAGTGGGCGTGGCCGGGCAACAACAGCAGCCCTAGCCCAATCAAGCTGCACATCAGGTGTGCTCCGAAGGTCATGTTGGCTCTGACCTTGCACATTGATAAACGCGTTAACTGTTCTTAGTTCAGTGTTATTAGTGGATGTTGTTGTTGTTGCTGTTGTTGCTATTGCTGTTGTAAGTGTAACTGAAGCATGAAATCCGTTTAGCAAAAAATGTCGCAAATTCTGAGCGCGTTCATAAATTGCATTATTTTCGCCTCTAATTGAAAATGGTTAGCTGGAATCCAAGGTTCTCTAATTTTCTCCCAACTATCAAGCGAACTGAGCCCCACACATTTTCGTTTGCAATTGCTTTAGCAAACTTTTTTCTTTTTTTTGTTGTAGTTTTATTAGAGTTTACGATCCGCTCGCCCGACTGATTGACGCGATTGCTGCCAAAGCACTAAACATTGTAGAACGCGCGACGCATGGTCCAAACATCAAATCCAATCCGATCGATGTGTTCGGCAGCTGTGACGCTTTCGTGTGTGTTTCGGCATTATTGAAAAGAGACAACCCCTCTATGACCATAGATCGCGTTAAGACTCGATGAGTCGGCCATAGCTGAATGGACCAAGACTATATCGTCTGTTGGGTATACTTTTGCAGTCAAGTCTCTTGGACTTCATCTATAAGACTTGGCAACTCTTTCATAACTAGACATTTAGGCCATATACATTATGCAAGTAACAGTAAGTATTAGCCCCACTGAGCTGTCACATTTCGTTTTATCAACTCACGCATCTTAAATGCATTTCTCAAATTAATTTTCGTTCAGCTCAGCGAATGCAGCTCTACACTGTTCAGTCGGCGGAAAAATGTCTGCGGGAAAGCACGTTATCTACGCGTGGATAACATATTTTCTAATATCTTACGGCGTCGCTGGCTTCTACTTTGATGTTCGCACGGGCCAATTCAGAAAGTCGCGCGTAATGCGCATCTATGGTCAGATAATTTGTTCAACTGTATTCTGTGCACTCTGCCGGATCAATATAATATATTGGAAAATGTACCCGATAATTCCTACGTACTCGAAGCTTATGAACGTCTTAGTCTATTCTCAGCCCGTAATCTCATTCATATCGTTTACGGCCTGCATGATCGGCTCTCAATTCAATCAGCAGAGCATTCTAGAAATGTTTAAGGATCTCCTAAGGATAGACAATCTGATAACCGAATCACACTTTTGCGCCACTCCATCAAATAGATCCTTCCTGCTAAAGCTTTACTGGGTCAGACTATTACTTGCGATAGTTCAAACAGTTCTATTTATGTCACGGATACTCACGGACTTAAAAAATGTCATCCTTCATCTTAGCGTTACTGGAGCACGAGTCGTAGTGTGTGGCTTCTTGTTCATGCAGTTCACCATCGTCTGGCACATCTGTTATTTTTTCTTAGGGCTGCAAATGTACCTGGAGCGACTGTTAATTGAACCAATGCCAATGTCAAGAAGAGTGCAGAAAGTCCTGGGGATGCATCGGATGTACTACAAACTCATTCAAATGATAAACAAATTTTGTGACATTTTTAAGTATTCGCTGGCTTTATTCTTGATCCAGCTCGGCTGCAACGCTTGCTCGACTGGATATTATTTCTTTCGTAAGGTGCTTGGAATAATCCAAAAACCCCATAGTTTTACCACAGAAGCGTTTTTGATACTGGTAAACGCTTCCAATGTGATGGACCTCTTAATTTTCGCAATCATCACCAATATGGTTTATAAACTACATGATGAAACATTTCACATCCTGCGCTCCTCTAACTTTGCCTCGAAGCAGCTGGAACGAAGCGTAAGTAAATCATTTCACTGGTTTGTCAAGATTTCAATAGTCCTTTTTATCCTAGAATGACTGGCTAGCCCTGCAGCTAACTTGGCGAAATAAGACGATCAACATATTCGGAGTCCTGAACATCGATCATAAATTGATATTTCTAATCGTCACTAGCGTCGTACTTCACATAATATACATTGTGCAGAGCGACTACAGATATTTTCAGATGTAAACAGAGTTTGAGAACTATTAATAAAAAAAAAAAAATATTCAATTTAATATTATCTACTATATATGTATGTTAAAAGATGAAGGTTTTTATTATGAGAGCGTTCAAAAATAAATAAAAATGATATCTATATATATAAAAGAAAGTTGTGTAAAAGTGAAGACTGCTTATAACTTGATTTGGGCTGAACCAATTTTCATGGYTTYTGATTTGTTGGATTTGTCTCCGCAACGAGTTTAGTATAGGGTCTTAAAAATACTGAAAAAATTTGCCGAATACTTGAAAAACGCGGTTTTTTCCCCAAATGTTCAAATTTTTTTTATACCCAGTAGGCTTGGTAACAGTGACAGTTTTGACAATAGTGTAGAAGTAAATAAACAAATGTAGTCAGTCAGTCTACGGTCTCCTGACCTCGAGCAGACCTGACTATTCAAAAAAAAATTTAAAGATGAGGAAGTTCTTATTCCAAGGATTCCGATGATCCCAACAGATATGCCCTTTGAGTTTAAACGAATTCAATTCCCGATTCGTCTTGCCTTCGCCATGACGATCAACAAATCACAGGGCCAATCTTTGACTATTTGTGGCCTCAATCTAGAAAATGCGTGTTTTTCTCATGGTCAATTGTACGTGGCATGCTCACGTGTTGGCAAACCATCCGCATTATTTGTTCTTGCACCTGACCAAAAAACGAAGAATGTCGTTTACCACAAGGTGCTTGAATGAAAATCTGATTAATAAATTAATTAGAGTGTATCCCAACCTGAACAACATACCTTTTAATCATTTTTTACCTAGAAATAAGGGTAGGGCAATGCAACGCTTGCTGGGACTGCTAGTTATATATAAATTATATTATTAAAAGTATTTCTTTGGTTAATATCAAAGATTTCATAATTAATATCAGATATATTTAGTATCTAGTTTTTTACATCTTATTATACGATTTACACTCTTTATTAGGTTGCATCGCGGTATAAAACTATATTTGACCTACGTGCATTTCCTTTGATATGTCAGAGTAAATCGTAGATATATACAACTATAAGATATCAGATAGCAGCTATATTAAACGAGCTGTCAATTCCAATTTATTTCCCACTTTTTATTCGCTAATCATATTCCTATTGATTAAATGCAGTCGGCTGCATTCAAGTGAAGCATTTCAGTAGTCGTGAAAATGTCCTCGAGAAAGCAATTCGTATACGCATGGATAACATATTTCTTGGCGCTTTGTGGAGTGGCCGAATTTTACATTGACATTGGCGCGGGCAAAGTCGTAAAGTCGCGTTTCCTCCTTATTTTTCGTAGAATTTTTTGTATATTGTGTCTGTGCTCTCTTTCTTGGATATCATTTGTAAACTCACATGCAATCCTGAAATGTACCACGCATTCCAAACTTCTGATTTTCATGATGAATGCCGTCTCTACGATAACATGGATAACGAATGTAATTAGTGTTTTTTGTGCACAGCGCTGGCAGAAGAGGATATTTCAAATCGTTAGGGATTTACTAAGGATTGAAAAGCTGGCTACTACACACAGTAATTCCGCCAAAGCTTCAGAGCTGTCATATATCCAAAAGATATTCTGGTTTAGAATATTGCTGCTTATGGCGCGAATTATAGCAGTCGTACTACAGGCGTTCCTTAGTCGGCAGGAATTTGGTGTTTACCTCATCATATTCGGATCAAGACTTGTGAGGTATGGATGCTATCTCCTGACATTTAATGTACTCTGGCAGACCTGCAGTGCTCTCATAAAACTTCAGTCCTACCTAAAGCAATTATATCTTGATCCCATGCCAGTCGCAAGAAAAGAGCAAAAAATTCTCGAAGCGCATGGAATGTATTATAGACTTGTCCGTATCACTAGCGATAGCTGTGAGATTTTCAAATATCCGACTGGTTGTTGTCTGCTCCTAAGTTTCACCAAATTCTGCATAAATGGATACTTCCTTTTGCGCCTACTGCTGGGAAATCCTATAAAAACATTGAATCCTTACAACACTTACATTATAATATTATTAAGCAGCCTCGGTATATGTGAACTCTATACTCTGGGCAGCATTGTTAACCTGACTGCTAGAGTTCATGATGAAACATTTCAAATCTTACGCAATCTTACCTTCAACACGGAAGTCGAGGAACGAACTGTAGGTTCCACATACGTTATTAAGTTAAGTTATTATTCATATGTTAATTTCTCTCTCAATCATAGAATGAATGGCTAGCCCTGCAGCTAACATGGCAAAATAAAAGTTTCAACATCTTCGGGGCTCTGGACATCAACCTAAATTTGGTGTTTTTGATTGTTGTAAACACATTTCTTAATATAATATACATAATGCAGAGCGACTACAATTATATATATTGACGAACACAGTGAAAACTATTAAGGGTCAAATGGTTCAGAAATATCTTAGAGAGAGGTAAATCTGCCAAAAATCTCTTTCATAATTTTGCAAATATAAAATAAAAGAAAGTTTTAATTATCATTAATTGACTCACGAATTATAGAAATTTATAAGCACAATCCACGATTTTATCAAAGTAAGTCAATTACTATTTATAAATATAACATTTCAGATATCAATAACTGTCATTTTCTATTGAGTTTACAGTTTATCTCGACAACGACTTATGAACACTTATTGATTAAATGCAGTTTGCACAAAGTCCTTCAAGTAGTCGCCGCAATGTCCTCGGGCAAACAGTTCGCATACGCTTGGATAACATATTTCCTGGCCTTCTGCGGTATCGCTGAGTATTACTTTGATATGCGCAGCAGGCATGCAACACATTGCTGGCATTGCTGAGCTGTATTTTATGTGCGCGAGTGTGGCAGAAAAGGATCTTCGAGATGCTCAAAGATCTGCTAAAGATGGATGAGCTGATAGCCACATGTAGCTGTTATGCCACTCCCCCAGATAAGCCACGACTGCTGAGGCTATTCTGGATTAGATTCTTCATACTTGTCGCACACACCATCTTACTCCTGCTACAGCCGGTCATTGTTGGTGAAGAGTTCATAGTTTATTGTAGCATCATCGAATCAAAGCTTATAAGGAACGGGCTTCACTATCTGTCGTTTAACATCATCTGGCTGATCTGCTATACCTTCATGAATCTGCAGTCATGCCTCAGCCAGTTGTTATCTGATGGAATGTCCATGGCACGGAAGGAGCATAAAGTTTTGGAAGTCCACCGAATGTACTACAGACT